CCCCGCCCCGCCCCCACTTTCCTTCTTCCCGTCTTGCGCTCGCCATGCTAGCGCAGGCGGAATAGTGATTCGCGGGTTCGAGTACGTGCCCTTCCCCCCATCCCAATCACTTCCCTCACCAGCTGCGTGCGGGTCGACTCTTAGAAGAGCCTACGTCTGAATCCGGTGTGCACCCATTGAGAACCGTTTGGTCCGGGTGACCAATTTCAAAACCGACTAAATTTTGGATCTGTGGACTAGATTTTAATCGTGCTGAAAAAAAAATCAAATTACCTTAGTTTTGATAGACTTGACCAAATTTAGTTAAAAATTGTTAAAAACGAAGGTGCTAAATTGTAGTTGGTTTCATAAACTAAATTTTCCTTTTGCTTCCTACGACCCTGATTTAGTCGAATCAATAACTAAATGGTTCACTCTCTGTGTGTGACGGAGAACTCGCCCCTGTTACACGTTAACTCGCCCCCACGGTTGTGCCTTGTACAGGAGAAAACCCAAGACCGAGCCAAAGGCCTCCTTTAATTTTGAAGCCCAAAAGTTTTTGCCCACCCGTAGGCTTTTTGCTCTGATTCCATTTTTGGAAGAAAATTCGAGACTCGCCTTTTCGCTAATTCATCATCTTTTGGCTGAAATTTATACCAGAAGCTTGTTGTTCTTCATATCCCGAGGGACATCCAGCTCAATAGCACATCCAGCTCAATTGGCAAGCAGTTGAGGAAATTGTGGGTGACTTGGCTTTTGAATGGCGTTCTCGTGGGGGATGAAAACCGGGACGGGAGTATGCGCGAGTTGTCCTAGATCCGGACAGGGCCGCCCCCTCACCGGTGTGCTGGCTGCCGCCTGGCTATCAGTCCAGGACGCCGAGGACTCCTGCCCCGGTGAGCCCGCCCGCGCCCCGGGCGGCGGGGCGGGGCAAGGTCAGCCCTGCAGCTGCGGCAGCTGCCTGGCGGTGGCGAGGGGCGGGGAGGGCTGTGCTGTGCCACTGCCATGATGAGGCTGGCACATCGGGGCACAGGCCACGCCACGCCACGCCATAGGCCATGAGCAGTCCGCGGCCCCATCCTGTCCCGCCCCGGTCCTGGCGGGGTCCTGCGCTCAGTGTGCGGGCAGAGACAGCGCTGGACCCGTGGCGGACGGCACCGCAAGCTCCACCGTGAGTACCGCAGGGTCAGGAACGGATCAACCCCCCCGAGGCACCCCGTCGTCCTGGGCACTACCCGCCACCGGCCAAGTGTGCAGGCCCCAGGAAAACGGTGACCTTCACGTCGCCGGGAGCTCGCCACGGGTCCCCCTCATCCACGCAACCCAACATCGGTGTCCACGGCAAGGTCGTGTGTGGAGTTCATATCGGCGACCTTCAGCACGAAGAAGAGGGTTTTCTCGGGGACCCACCATACCTCGCGACCTGTGGTCTCGCGTCGAAGACCGCTCCACTCCAGTGGGTAGGGGTGGGGTGCCTGGGCGCCCGGCGGGTAGGCCGGCCGCATGCAGCCCGCCCGCGCCGGCAGCCTACGGCCGGTGGGCGGGCGCGCCTGGTGCAGGCCTGGTGCGAGGTGCCCGCCGCGCCGTGCGGGGACTTCTCAGCTCTATAGACGCGGGCTCCGCGGGCTGCGTGAGAGCCCCCAACCCCTGGTCTTGCACTGGTTCCATCCGGCTCCAGCGGGTCTCAGCCCTCGGCGGGCAGGCTCCAGGCGGAGGGGCCGGCGCGGGCCAGGATGGGCGACAGTCGGCAGTCGCGGGCGGGTGAGGTCAGAGTGGTGCTGAGGAGGACGCCGTCGTCGTCATCACCGCCAAGACGCCCCAGTTCCGGCAGCCCGATGTGCGTGTGTGCGTGTGAATGTGTGTGTGTGCGTGTGTCTGTGTGTCTGTGCGTGTGCTTGTGTGCACGGGCGAGAGACGAGTGCGTCGTTGACTCCTCGGTATCCAGTCCAGCAAAATGATATCCCCTGTGCTTTGTTTGTTTGGTCAGATGTACTTCAAACCACCCCATCGTACGAAATGGGAGATGTTCCAGTCGTTCCTGTACGACGGGCCGTCGGGCCGTGTGTTCGGCAGAACAGGCTCAAGCTGGGGTGAGTTACCATTTTATTGCGAATCATAATCAACAACGACAAAAATGAACAAAGGTCTCAATCTATTTCACTTTTTACAGCCAAGATTGGTCTATTCTACGCCAGTTTCTACGCGGTGTTGGCGTCCATGTTCGCCATCATGCTGTGGGTATTCTTCCAGACTCTGGACCCGAGGATACCCCGTTGGCAGCTGACTGGCTCACTGATCGGCACTAACCCAGGCAAGAATATTCTCAAACAAGCATTAAGCAATGTTTCGAGATCCATCTTATTGTGAAGTGTTTGACGAGGCTGTCGCCCGCAGGGATGGGATTCCGGCCTTTACCCCCCACCTCCAACGTAGACAGCACGCTCATCTGGTACAGGGGCTCAGACCCGGAGAACTACAAGCTGTGGAGGAACTCGCTTGTTGAATTCTTGGAAGGTAAGCTAAAACGAAGTCTTGCCTATGACACCCTTTGAACTGGGTGCAAAATTTTATTATTGACACTTGTGCTTCGCCCTCGGCGTCGACTCTATTGTCGAAGTAAGCTATACTCTTTTCGACAAAATGTACGCCCTTTGTCGTTCGCGGGCGCCGGGGAGCGTTGTTCGTACCGACTGACACGGTTTGTGCAGTTTACAGGAAGCCTGGACTCACGCCGGGTCGCGGACAGAACATCTACAACTGTGACTACGATAGGCCACCAGGCAAGGGGCAGGTGTGCGACGTGGACGTGAAGAACTGGGCGCCGTGCACCCAGGAAAACAATTTCAACTACCACAAGTCTGGCCCCTGCATCTTCCTTAAGCTCAACAAAGTAAGCTCATGACCACACGCGCATGTGTGTCAGACTTTGAAATGAATTCAACCAAAAAACCACAAAGATAAACACTGTTGTATACATTATTTTTAATATTTTTTCCTCGGCGTTGTTTTCAGATCTACGGCTGGGTGCCGGAGTACTACAATGACACCCGCAACCTTCCGGCCGCCATGCCGAAGGATCTGAAAGCCCACATCGACATGATGGGTCGCAATAACAGCCGGAGGGTAAGTACTCGCCGTGTTTTGGTGGTCGGCCGTGGCCGACCCATGATTCGAGGGCGACTTGAGTCACGGCCACCTTTTGGTTTTCCATCTCGTTTTGCACTAATCATACCAGGTGGCTATTCAACCCGCACAATTGTTATACTATACTGCACCGCATGCGTGAATCGAGATGTATACGCAACTCTATTAGAATTACAACTCTAAAGTAACCTCCGGTTTGCGACATTTGTAGCTCAACACGATATGGGTGAGCTGCGGGGGAGAGAATCCGGCGGACTTGGAGAACATCGGGCCCGTCAAGTACCTGCCGCCTCACCGCGGCTTCCCCGGCTACTTCTACCCGTACGAGAACACCGAGGGCTACCTCAGCCCCCTCATCGCCGTGCACTTCGAGCGGCCGAGAAGTAAGTCGCACGGCAAAAAGGCGTCGTTGGCGTCTGATCTCAACATTTTTGAAAACATCATTTTCAAAAGTTTGATTTTTTTGCATGTTATTTTGTGAATATTAGGTGGCTGACTCACGCCGCGCACTTTAGTAGTCGTACCAGGTGGCTGATTCACGCCGCGCACTTTCGTAGTTATACTGTACCGCATGCACGCGTGCGGGCTGGTTTGCCTATGCTCGCAACGCACGGCTCCTTATGGCCCCGTGCGGGTAGGCAATCCGCCTCCTGCACTCGTGCATGCGGGGCAGTATAACTACGCAAGTGCGCGGCGTGAATCAGCCACCTGGTACTGTTCCGCACGTACGCGTTCGGGTATGTTGCCTACTCGCACGGGGCCACCCGGAGCCGTGGGCAGAGAGGATTGGCAAACCCACCCGCACCCGTGCATGCGGCACAGTATAACTACGAAAGTGCGCTGCGTGAATCAGCCGCCTCGTATTTTCCGGAGCACCACAATGATGACGTGCTTTATCTCTGATTCAAACAGCGGGAGTCCTGATTCAGATCGAGTGCAAAGCGTGGGCCAAGAACATCGGCTTCGACCGCAAGGAGCGCGTCGGGTCGGTGCACTTCGAGCTGATGATCGACTAGGCGTCCGTGTCCAGAGGTCGTCCGTCCGTGTCGGACCGCCTGCACCCGCCCGCCCCTCCTGCCGCGCGAGAAGTCCCTTTTCTATCACTGCCTCGAACCCTCGTGGACTCTCCCGCGGATCCCGCCTGCTGTCCAGCGCAGCAGGTGTGACGCAGGCGGGAGGAGCGCTGCAGCAGATCTCTCCACCCCCGAGCCCTCACCGCCCTTCTTCGGCCCACCCCTCGGCCCCCCGGCAGCGCAAAAGCTTGCGCGACTGGCGCCAGCCAAGGTGCAGCTGTGGAGCCATGGTGTCGGCCGAGATGTGTGGGGACATCCCCGCGTCGAGGCGCCAAACATGCAAAACGTTTTCCTTCGCCCTGAAACAGGTAGCGTGTGTTCTATAAGGCACGTTCGGATGCGTACCGTTTTTATGTTGTTATTTTAAATTCAACGGTACTTCTCCAGCTTTCCCTTTTTCCGTCCTTTTTAAAATTTGGCTATACTTACCGATGATAAATACGTCTCGAAAAGTCTCGACAGAGACTATAATAAAGACATGGACCAACCCTGATGGTAAATTGATTCAATGAAATTAAGATTAAAAATTTCTCCATAGAAAGGTGCCTCTTAAAAATCAAGCTAATAGAACACCTTAGAACATACGGGAAAACTGCAAACGAATCTTACTTGACGTTTTTGTTCATGTTTGTTCTGTTATCAAAATTTATAATTAACTTAGTGTAAATATGGGTATGAATTGTACTTCTTGTACTCTTGAATAAATCATTGGGACAATCTTGTGATAGCGGTGCAGTGTAGTATTTTGTTCCAACCTCGGACCTGGACTCGGAATGACACTGGGGTGTCTCCACTCCAGTCCAGCGGGTGTCACCTGGAGGGTCAACTGCAGCTACCTCAAGCACCGAGTACCTCTAGTACCGAGAGGTCGCGCTGCACCGTGACTGAGTGACACACTGAAGTTTACATCGCGGCCGTTGAAGCGCCACCGGCCCAGCGTCGCGAGACTCGCCCCGAGCGCCCGCCGCGGCCGCGCCGCACCGCGACCGTATGCCTGTCCTTGTTGCTCTTGGGTCTCAGGTGCGCGGTGGCGCGCGTGCGAGAGAGAGAGGGAAGGCCGCGGGACGCCCCGCCACCCCGCGCCCCGCCGCCGCCACCCACCCCCACTCCACTCTACTCCCGGCGCGCGGACGGGAGAGGGGTGGGGGGCAGCAGGGGCAGCGAGCCGCAGCCGCAGCGCGGAGCGTGGATCTGGCACCTACGCGATAGGGTCGCGTGGAGTCGGCCGGACGGTTGGAGTCGGCGAGGAGCGGAGCACCAGCAACAGCGTCGTGAGAGGTTGCCGCGGCCGCGCTACCGAGTGCCGAGTGCACCGTAGTGGAGTGGGTGTGGTCACCGTCAACATGCAGACCAAGCTGGAGCAGGAGGACTCCGTCCAGGAGTTCCAGGGCTTCTTGAAACCCGCCGAAATACCTGCCCTGCAGCGATGGAAGGAATTCTTCTACAACAAGGAGGAGGGCACAGTTATGGGCCGGACGGGCTTGAGTTGGGGTGAGTAGTGGGTAGTACTCGAGTACCTGCTACCTGGTACTTGACGTACTCGTTTTACCTTCCGAGGAGGAACCGAGCCCCTTAATGGCGTACGCTGCCGACCGCGAGACGGCCAACACACCCGGTGGCACCTGAGGCTTTTGACACCTGTATGTTTTGATGCGCACCTGCGCCCCCTAACCTGTACGGGCGGCCGCCGAAGCTATGGGCGGGACGGTCAGACGGGTGCGGCTAGCTGCTTGTGCTTTCAAACTAAACTTCAAGGGCAGTGTAGAATGCCAGCTGGGTTCTCCGATAAGAATAAACTTGGCGGCTGCCACGGCCCTGGGTTGAACTATATTCCTGGATACATTCATCCTGAATTATGTTGTTACGGGTAAATATTGATATTGTATGTAATTTAATCAAATGAATAGTTTCTGAATAGTTTCTTTGTATCAATATTTACTACACTTGTAAAAATTTACATGCTGAGTCTCAGGGGCAGTCTTATGTGTAACCCTGTACTCAACATGTTAATTAGTTTTGTATACGGAGCCTGCACTGTTAGAAAAATGTGACCTGACCGTTATTGTCTTAGCCAAATGCTAAAATTACCTTAGAATGTTTTGGGTAAAATAATTTTGCCACAGTTGTAGTGCGTGTTTCTTTCAGTTAATCCACAATTTTCACAAATTTTCTTCCAGTTCCTCCACTTTGAGGCACTTTCTTCAGCTTCATTTAGAGCACATTCCAGTCATGTCTGTCCTCCCTTTAGTTTCATGAAGGGAGTGGGATTAATAGTGTTGGTTTGAATGGGTAGAGTTTTAACTACCCCTCATTCCCCTCCCCTTCCTCTCTCCCCCTCACTCACACACACCCATGGGGTAGGAGGCAGGGGTACTTGACCTCACTGCTTACCCCAGTCCCTACTTTTATACATTACTAGAAACTGAACGAAAAGGGAAGCAGCCTAAGTCCTCTGGCTTTGGCGAGGCACCCATGCAGGTCATCTGCCTTCTGGTCTGAGGAAGGGGGTGGGGGCTAATAGTTGGAGAAAAGGGGGCTGAGGCTAAAATAGGGATGGAAAGAAGGGGTGAGAAGAGCAGAAGGGGGGGGGGGCGTAAGACGAAGGGAGACCGCCGCGACGGTAGCCCATAGCGCCAACCCTCACCCCCTCTACTGGGCTGGGACGTTCAACAAGGGGTGGCAGACACACTCACTGGCTGTGCGGGCCGTTGGCTCCAAGCGCCACCCACCCCCAACCTCATCCCCATCTCCATCCCCGCGCGGCCGCCGCTCCCCCGATTCCTAACGTCACATCACTAGAAACACGAAGACGGCTGGACTGCAAGGTCCCTTAGACTTCAATTATTTAATTTTTTGACCATCCTATCTGCACAGCAAGGTCCTTATGCTAACAGAAAATAGACCAGAACTTAATACCTTCCACCTGTGGTTTTGTTTTCGCGGACCACGACGACCGCCTGTGGAGCTCTGAACCCTTGGGCGGCTCTGCCGACCACGCCCCTGCCGCCCTGTTCTGTTCAGTTTACTCAAGGGTTGTTTGTTAGCGAGGCTCGTGGGAGAGGGAGGGAGGGGTCTCTGTGCTGCTGATGGAGGGTGAGGCCTGCTTCTCACAAGCGTCCCGGCAAGGAGCCCACGCCCCGCCAAGGACGCCGCCAGCGTCTCCAAGGCCATCGGCGGACTGATCGCGTTTCGCAACCCTGTCCTCGCCCCGCCACGCCGCACCGCACGGCCAGTGCTTGCATCAGCGAGAGCATGAAGAGGCTCGGGAATATATTGTCCTGCTGCGGCGGAGTCTGAGCCCAAATAGGGTCTACGGGGCTGCATCCCTAACGTTTTGCAGGGAAGCGCCCCCGGGGAGTTCTACTGTCGACGGCATACATGAAGTACTCGACGGAGGCAGTGAGGGTGCCAGGACGGCCCCGCGCCTCGCTTCCAGGGGCTGCTGCTGCTGCTGCTGCTGCTGCACGACGGGGTCCAGATCCGGAGGGATCCGGTTTGAGCCAGACCGAGCAGGCCGGGAGCGAGCACTGGCCCGCTACACCCCTACTCTGTGTCTCCACCCCCACCCCAGCGGACGGAACGGGGTGGAAAGACGAGGGATGGCAAGGGAGAGATGGAGGGAGGGTGGGTGTGCGATGCGGTGGGTTGGGTTTGGGTAGCATTTCTCCAGGGGGAGAAGCCAACCCACCAACCTCTCCAACCCGATCACCATGACCTGCAGGTTACTTGCATGCCCCCCCCCCTTACACAAAACCCACTTTACATATATATATTATATTTCAGACACCTATGTACAGGGAAGACTCGTGTCGACTGTCCTGCTCTGTCCAATACCAAGCAGAAATTTACACTTCTAATGCTTTTCTTCCCTCCTTATTTGGCACTGGAACTCACAAGCATTAAAATAAACTAGGTCTTCTTCGGAGAGTGTCTGGCAATTTGATCTGTGCATGGGGGTGGGGGGATGGACGCACCAAGATTAATGACCTTTGTACACAAGAAAATTGATTCTGTCATTATATTCTTAACTTTTTTGGTTGGTTGCAGGAAAAATCATCCTTTTTTACGTCATTTTCTACTCTGTACTGGCAACTCTCTTTGCCATAATGTTATGGGTATTTTACCAAACTCTGGATCCTCGTATACCCAAATGGCAAACAGAGGGATCATTAATTGGAACTAACCCAGGTATTGAATTGTACATTTTTTGTGAAATGTGTTTACCATGTGGAGTTATTCTATATATTTCTTCTGCTTGAAGGTCTTGGATTCCGTCCTATGCCTCCATTTATTAACGTTGAAAGTACGCTCATTACTTACCGAGGCACTGATGCAGAAAACTACAGATATTGGAAAGACTCGCTTGTTGAGTTTTTGCAAGGTGTGTACTGTCTTTCTTCATGGTATTCAGTTAATTTATTTGAATACAGTTGTAATTCATTTGTGGTGCTCAACAGTGTACAGGAAACCTGGTCTGACTCCTGGTCGTGGTCAGAACATCTACAACTGTGACTATGACAGGCCTCCAGGAAAGGGACAGGTGTGCGATGTTGATGTAAAGAATTGGTCACCATGTACTTCAGAAAATAATTTTAACTATCATAAATCTGCACCTTGTATTTTCCTGAAGCTTAACAAGGTAATATTCCTACCCTCTTTGAAGTTTGTTTAAATTTTAGATGCAGCAATTTCAATGTCCATCTCTTTTTCTTTTAGATTTATGGTTGGGTTCCAGAGTTTTACAATGATACTAATAATTTGCCTGAGAAGATGCCAAGAGATCTTAAACAACACATCTGGGAAGTAGGACGAAACAGCACTCTGAGGGTATAGCTAACAGATAATAATAGTCATATAAATGTCTACTAAACCCTGTTTTCAAAAATACCATATCTGTATTATTTGTGTTACAGCTGAATACCGTATGGGTCAGCTGTGAAGGTGAAAATCCTGCTGATGTTGAACATATTGGTCCAATAAGATATATACCAGGTTTGAGAGGGTTCCCTGGATACTTTTACCCATATGAAAACTCTGAGGGCTATTTGAGTCCAATAATGGCAATCCATTTTGAGAAACCAAGGAGTAAGTGTTAAACTTCTATATATTCTTAGTAAGATTTGTAGTTTTAATTCTTTCATTAATACTTTTATTATTTCTTTATATTTAGCTGGCGTTCTTATGCAAATAGAGTGCAAAGCATGGGCACGCAACATCAAACATGATCGCAGAGATAAACTAGGCTCAGTGCATTTTGAGCTGCTGATTGATTAGAGGTGGCAGGACAAACTGATGTGCCAGGTGTTGTATGGATCTCATTTATTTTTCCTGAGATCTGTGTCCTGGGAAGACAAAGTTCTGAAGCTGTAAAGTTTCACTGATATTCCCATACTAGACTAGTGTGTTTATTCTTCAAAATACTGATGCCCTCTGTTTGAGCCTGCGTTAGTCGGCATATCCATCCAACAGTAACTGCATGATAAATACCCCAACTCTTACATTAACACGTTGAGTCCCAGAGGGGGTATGAATCGCGTGTTATTGTGACCATACATGTGGTCACGTGGAACTCAACGTGTTAAGCAATTTTATTACCGATCTATGAAGTCTTTTTTGTATTACTTGGCAATATTTGCTCATCTTTTGTCTATACATTTTATCATGGTGCTTGATTTTACCCATGAACAGTTTTTATTAAAAACCTTCCACATTGTAAGATGCACTGCCATAACTGAAGTGTAACTTAGCAGTGATTATTTTCTCTCATATCTTTTGATATGCATGCGGATTTTGTACTTGCATCTTTTTTGAAGATGTGTTTTAAATTTTTTGGAGGATATACTTAATTATCTTGTTCATCCCCTTGCCTCCCCCTTATTCCTTTCTTTCTCATTGCTTTCAGAGGGACTAAACTCTCCTCTTCCAGAGACTTGAATTGTTAGTACACAGTAGATCATTAGAGCTTAAATTTTTGTATTTATTTCATTACAGACAATATGTTGTCATTTAGTTGAAATCCATTTTGATTGATACTAAACTTTTTAAATCAAAGCAACCTTTAACATTCCTACACTTAATCTGTAACTTTTGTGAAATGAATGTGATAATTTTAGCTGTTATCTTTTTTGTGCATTGTTTTATTTTCATAAAATCTCAGTCTGCCATTTAGAAAAAATTTCAACTCTTTGTTGATAGACATCTATTACACAGCAGATCTGGTAAAATATTTTAATTCTGTATTGATAATTGTTTCATTTTTTTTTACTTTTTTAAAATGCATCGTCAGTTTTAGTGTATAGTACCATTACTTTTGTACTTGGTATTTTGGATATTGTCAGTCATATTCCATAAGTATGTTATCAGTATAATTTTTTTACTATTTCTCAAAATTATGCTGAACAAGGTATGCTCTGTCCATTGAGATTATCGTGTTACTGAATCTGTTATTGCAGTGTTTGCCTCTTGTCCTAAGAGTAACCTGCTAATTTTTCTACCTTTTTAAATCCATTATGAGTATGTTTTGACCAAATTGCTTGACGAACCAATTACTTTAGTGGATACATAGCATAGATCTCTGTTCTTTTTTTCACGTAACTTTTAATAATGTATTTGTCTTACGATGTGTGTCATTATTTGTTGATTTGTGCTAGGCATTTTTGTATTTTTTTTCATGCAGTAAGCAGTATTAGTGGCATTAATTTTAGATGGTCATATCACGGAATCTCAGATAAATGAAATATAAGCTAACTTTTCAAATATCACATGGTAGATGGCCTAAGTAAACTCTTCCTTTTGACTGAGCCAACCCATTCTACTCAAGCTAAGTGGTATTTTCTATGAAATGGCTTGGAATTATTTAATCTAGTAATTTACTTGATTTGCTTATCTCAGAAAGAGAGCTACTTGTATGTGCTGTCTGGTATGTGTGCAAGTAGAACCAAGAATAATAAGTACACTTTGGTTTTACAGATTGACTTTGAACTGAAATAAAATTGGAGTTTTTGTGCTACTGAGTTACATGTTTCCATTTTTATCCCAATTCGCCAGTAGCGCCGAATGCATTAAAGTGCGCCGAAAATGAGTTAGTTTTTTATGCGGTTGCAAAATCAGCGCTGATCCCACACATTCACACATGCCCTCACACACTCACGAAGCCTCAACGACACGAATGAGAACTTCATGAATGTATACCCTCAACTCCAACCAGCAACATAAAGTTGTCTTTTGCGAGAAAGGGTCTCACCTCTCTCAAGCTCTTGCATCTTGAGAAATAAGCTTGCATCGTACCCTATCTGAGGGAGGTATGCAGTCACCACACTCGCTCTTTGAATCAAGCGGGTAAGCGGGTGATCCGCCGGAAGCACTGTGTATGAAAAATTCCACAACTCACAAAAATGGGGGTGGATTTGAAATTTGATAACAGAAAAACATAACCTGTAAAGTTCTGAACTATTGTGTGTTCTGACTGCCTCTCAAATTCATCATGAAAGAGTGGAATGACATTAGTTATCGGGGCAGTAGATATCCACTTCAAGCAAATCTTACCATTTTCTGGATATGTTCTGTTTTGTTTTCGTTATACATTTTCTTACATGGCTTCTTCCCCATGAAAACTGTCGTTGGAGAATTTGCTGTTAAAAATGACATTCCATCAACAATTTTGAATTTTAGGTTTGTAGAATTTCTTTCTTTTTGGTGTTTATTTTCTGGTCCATATGATTTCTTAAAGCACTCAATTTTTGGTAACAGTATTGACAATGAAGTTTTATATCGAAGAAGGAGTGGCCGCTTTGTATTTGTACTGATTGATGCATTTCGTTGGGACTTCTTGGACAATCCAGAGCATATGCCTTATCTATTTGAATTACAGAAATCAAGGAAAGCTTCTCTCCTAACAGCCCGTTGCCATCCTCCTACAGCAACCATGCCCAGAATAAAGGTAGTAATATTAAATTTGCTATATATCTTATCTACATTTATCTGATATTGCTGATTTTAATTTGATTTCATATTTTTCCCATTGAAGGCACTTATGACAGGGACAGTTCCAAACTATGTTGATGTTATTTTAAATCTGGGTAATGATCAGGTCACAGAGGATAACTTAGTTCACCAAGCTGTTGAAAATGGCTTGAAAGTAGTATTTTATGGCGATGAAGTATGGCTTCATCTATTCCCTGAAAAATTTCTGCGAAAGGAAGGAACTACATCATTTTTTGTATCAGACTATAGTGAGGTAATTTTGTTCACATTAAACAGTAAGTGATCTTAATATTTAGTTTTTCGATGTTTTGTTTTACTGAGGTGTTATCTTTAAAAGGTTGACACAAATGTTACTCGACATATTGCTCCTGAAATGAAAAAAGGTGATTGGGATATTCTCATCTTACATTATCTTGGTCTAGACCATATAGGGCATCTAGCTGGACCAAGTAGTCCCCTAGTACCGTTTAAATTAAGAGAGATGGATGAAGCTATAAGAGAGATTCATGAAAGTCTTCAGCAGTGGGTGCGCATTGAATTGCTTTTCACTTTTGTTATCTATCTATCTTATCTATTCACGTGTAATTTTTGTATTTTATAATCTAGGATTATGAACACCCCGAAGAACCGTCATATTTGGTTATTGTGGGAGACCATGGAATGCATGACTTAGGTAGTCACGGTGGAGCTACCCTAGGGGAAATCCTTGTTTCTCTGATTGTGATTGAAAATGTGGCTCTTAATTATTCCATTTCAGAGTAAGCAAACCTGTTTAAACAGTGCATTACTACCAGTATTTTACAATTCTTTTTAAAATTCCTGAATAATTCTTTTTAAGAAATTCAAATTTTACGAGACCAGAAGTGTCCCAGATTGATGTCACAGCCACACTTGCTGTTCTTCTAGGTCTACCAATTCCTAAGTTAAGTCTTGGAGTCTTGATACCATCTGCTCTCAAAAGACTTACTGATGAGCAATTTTTATTTGGTCTGGGTTATAATGCTCAGCAGGTATCAAGTCAATTCATCTTGGCTGATCCAGATGGCACCTCAAAAGGTATAAAGAACCTTAATTTTTTCCTTAGCCCCATTGGGATGTAAAAACTTAAGTGTAAGTTATTTCTTTTCAACTCCACCTCATTCTCCAACAGATTGCTTTAACATGTTCCTCCGAGCAAAAGAGGCTCACGTGTCTTGGCTGAAGAGTAAGTCAAACACCCAAAGAGATCTTGCCAAAACTTTGTATACCAATGCAACTCAACAAATGAGCTCATTATTAGTGAAGACTTTAGTTACGTTTGACATGTTTTCATTAGGCATTGGATGCTTCACATTTATTCAGGTTTAATTTTTTTTTTTGTTTACTTACTTTTGTATCATGATTTATTAGAGTTCTTCCAGGTCTGTTAAAATGTTTTTATCTTTTTCTATCTACAGGTTTTACTATCTTTATTATATTCTGTAATAGTAAAAAGAAAAGACATTTTTCTCAAGTCAAGGGGAGAAACATCTGGCATTTTTACCACTGGTATAGGTTTATTTGCTTTTTGCATACTGTTCAGTTGCATATGTAGTTCTTTGTTTCCTATCAGTGTAGCATATTTGATTTTTGCTACCCTCTCTCTATTTTTCATTGGACTGCATTGTTGGATATTGTGTGTTTGGTTTAATACATGTCAGGTAAAGTTTTTAAAATGTGTGCTTTTTCAGTGTTGGGGCTCATATCATTTTTCCTTTTTAACTTTTAAATCTAATGCACAGGTAAAGAAATTCAGAAATATCTCAGTAACAACAACTTTTTTGATAGTGGGATCTCTTTTGCACACTATTAGTTTGAGTGCATCAAGCCTCATAGAAGAGGAGCATCAGACCTGGTATTTTCTATGGATCACATTTATGTTAATTTTATTCTTTTCATCAAGGTAGGACATTTTAAGCTATCCTTCCTACAAAAACTATTACAGTTCTATAAATTATTCAACAAATTTAAAACGAATTGTTTTGCAGCTTTTCTGACCCAAAGTTCAGTTTTCATCAATTTCAACTATTTAGTATCATGTTGGGTCATCGTATTCTTCGTAAACTAAATCAGACAGGGGACAAGTGGGCTTCTCTCCCTGACATAGCTGATTGGCTAGAAATGACTGATAATAAAGTCATCCTGTCTTACGTTTTTAGTTTTGGTAATGTTTTGCTTAATTTGCTATAATACCAGTCGTTACTGCCGAATGCTGACTTACAACTTTTTCATTTCCACCTTCCAGGTTTGGTTGCAGTGTGGTTTAGTTTGCATCGGTTAAAATGCTTGAACAAAACTTCTGACAAAGTTCTCCATTTTCTTGCTATTTTGTGTGTATTCCTTTACCGGAGTACAGTTGGTGATTTGTCACTTTCCTTTATTCTTGGTGATCCAAGGTATGCTAAGTAGTTGTACGTGAGCCCGGGCGCTTTGATAGTAATACTACAGTAATACCATAGCACATCAGTACTACAGTAATACCATAGTTCAGCAGTACTACAGTAATACCATAGTTCAGCAGTACTACAGTAATACCATGACCATGACCATGACCATGACCAGTAATACCATTACCATCTAATCAAAACAATTACAACTTATCACCCCAAAAGGCCTAATGATCCCTAGGGAGAAGGTCGGGAGGTTCCGGTTTAAAAAAAAAAAAAAAAAAAAAAAAAAAAAAAAAAAAAAAGTACTACAGTAATACTATAGCATGTATGCAGGTGTGCAAAGGCAATTGCCTACACACTATGCAGTTGATCTATTTAAAGTGACGGGAGATTCTGCCTTTTACCTGATGGGATGGGTATTCTGTTTTTATTTGATTGTTGTTTGGGGTCAGTGTTCACAAGTTTGTCCTTGTTACAGAGGTGTACGAATAGTGCAGCTCTTCTGGCTGATAAATGGTTTGTTGCTTCTCAAATCACTCAGGAAGCCTTCGCAAGTACAAATTATCAAGGGTTTGATTTCTGTATGGACTCTTGCCAGTGCATTACTGTTCAGACCTTGCAATGTCATCCTCATTCCCTACTTCACACTCTCCAGTTTGTTCATTTCATCTGTTATGAAGAAAACTGTGGACTGTTGTCTTGCCCTTCTATGGCTGGGCAATGTAGCTTTCTTTTATCAGGTAAATTTTTAAAAGTGGTAAAAATTAAAATCTTACCCCCTTGTAGCTGTAGCACCAGTTTTTTTCTGTTCTGTAAATGTTTTGCAAGCATTCTAAGAACTATATGTGCTCCAAGGGTCTAATCTAATATTCTAACATAATATTTACATTCTTCTAGGGTAACTCCAACAGTTTATCCACTATAAATGTTGCTGCCGGCTACATTGGAGCTGACTATCAAAATATTTTTGGAGCAGGGCTCCTTATATTTATTCACACGTATTGTTTCCCTGTTTTAAGTACATTGCTCCTTTTCTTGAGGTCAACTAGTCAGACTGATTTTATTCAAAGGTAAATTACAAAGCCTAGTGCCCAGCATATATGCATTCATGTTGAAATTTTCACCTAATGGCAGTCTTCTGTTTTAGGAAACAAGATATCATTTCCACTTTGCATGTATGTTTCCTGCATCGTTTGCTTCCCTTGTGTGCATACTGCATCATAGTTACTCTGCAACGACACCATTTATTCATATGGTCTGTTTTTGCTCCAAAGCTTTTGTATGAGGCTGTTCATTCTGTGATTTCATTTAAACTTATAGCGGTAGGGTGTGTTCTACTTTTGTTCTGTGATAAAGAATAAGATAATAAATTATATGCAATTTTTTGTGCTATGTACCTGGTTGACTTTATATGAAACAAATTTAATATAAAATCATGGATTGCTGGATTCAAATTTATCAAACCAATTGTTAAATTTGCAGAACACAAGCAATAGTTTACCTTAACATTTACCCTGGACAAAATATTCAAAATAATCAAGACTGAATATGTAAAGGTCAGATTTGTATTTTTCTACATTGAAGTCATACATGTCTTAACAAAGAGGACAAAGTCAGTTGGTTCAATTTTACATAAAGCAGCTCTAAAGAAACATCTAACATTCCAGTTCAAAAATTGTAGGTAAAATTTAAAGGCAGGTTCAAGTGAAATGCTGGATCCCCAAGTTGCACATAATAATTCGACAAGCCCCTCTTTCATACAAATTTAGGGATTATCCTATGCACTGAAATGTGATGAAATCGAGGATGTAATGCTCTGTGCCATTTTCTGTAAATTAACAATAAGCAATCTACAGTTAATTCTCTACAGCAGGTTGGTCAGAAAGTGAGATTATACACTAAATTTGTTGACAATTTAATACTTTAATAATTACACTCATTACTTAAAGTTGGTAAATTAAGAATGCCTGAAACCCTGACGTAGGGAGCAGCACAGTAGATGCACTTCGGAAATGACTTGGGGAGGGGGAGGGAAATTTCTCATCGTGCCGGTTAGTAATTACCGATTACTGGAGTGTAGAAATCCATGGATAGGAAAGTGTCAATGTCCATCATCTGAAGTAGATTATCGTAAGAAATTGTACTTAATCTAACCACTTACAGCACTACAGACGATAGTTTTCTTTTAATTTAGAAACGAGTCATTTCACAGGAAAGAAGATAATTTTATTCTTTAGAAAAGTTAAAAACACAGAACAATTACATGGTTTATTTTGTTATGAATAAATTTATGGTTCAGAGCAAAACAAACTTTGATGAGGGCAAATGCGACAGCTTACTTCACAAAAGCACTTGGATGATAGCCCCAGTTTTACTTCCACACAATTGGAGCTAATTTACATTGGTCTGGTCCAGAGGCTACCTCAACCAGTGGTAGAATTCCTTCATGGAAAACTTGCATGTACATAATGAGCAGGATAATTTCAAAAATTCACCGACATTAAATGCAAGAAAGCAACGAAGGAAACCTTGAGATCAATAATAACCAGACTACAAGAACACTGGACACAATTTATTTATCAGATGGTAACAAAGAGGCGCATGATTCCGTATTGTAGGGCTCACACACAAAGAGCCTGTTCCCAGCTACTCCGGGATTGTGCTGTTGCTTAGTAGCCAACAACAGAGGCTTCCTGCATGAGCACGCCACACTGTGCTAAGAAAATCTAATAGCTGAGATTGAAAATGCTACAAGGTTGAAAAAGTGGAAATGAGTACAGGAAATGTGTACCAAAACATGCTTATAGCATGCCTATCACACTTCAATGTCAAGTTAATTTTAATTTGATTTTCTCAAGCTACTTTCAACATGCCAATATCATTTCTTGTGCCAGGCCAGGAGGAACGGCCAGCACTTGCACAAGAGAACCAAACAACACCTCCTATGAAACGGCGCCAAGATTGAAAATGCAGACCATTTGAAAAAAGAAAAAAAAAAAAGATAAAAGTTCCAATTGATAGGAGACTTAGGTTTCACAAAGGTGCATTACAGAACTAACCTCTACAGATTACAGCTTAACTACCAGGTAAGTCAGATTGTACTGGCTTCGGCCAAATAATAAGTCAATCTTAACTGGGTTGCTGGCTTTAAGTACCAATAAATAATTATGATTCATTACAAACCCCACATTCTAAATGGGAGATAAGGTAAACAAGGGAAAAGGGGAAAAGTAGGGAAGGGAGAGGTAGGGTGAGGTAGAGTGGGGTGGGCAGCATCTGTAATACTTCACAGTAAATGTGATGGAATGATTCATTCTCGAAGAGAATCAACTAGAATCCAATAAGCGAAGAAAAAGTCAGGCCATCCTAAATTACTCCTGGAATTCAACAGGAAAAAGATTCTTTTAAGCGACTCCATTCTTTTTATTTTGCTGGACTTGGAGCTAACAAAGTGGAAGAAAAGCATAAATAAGGAGGGTAGAGCGCTCTACAAGTCATTTAATATAAAACTTAATGTCTGGAGTCTGTAGCATAACTTATTGAAAGCATATAATGGAACATTTTTGAAAGCCCACATGACCCCATTGATTCTTAAAGCCCCCTTAACAATTTTATTTTATGTTTTGAGTTCAAAAGTATAGGCCGGTGAGAGTAACAACTTCAGAGACTACCAGAGTACATATACTTTCATTTTTAAAATTTAGATGCCGTAAGTACAATTTCATTATTTTCTTAAGTTTTACCAGAAAGGGGGCTTCAATGTTGCATACAGATAGAACTCTTTAAACCTCACCCTAATGTGACAATTTCAGACCAAATTGTTTGACTGAAATTATCACTCTACCCTCCTTAAGAGCTTACCAATATCACACAAGAAGACTATTGTGTTAAAATATGTGACAAAGACAGATTACAGAAACTGAGAGGGCCACCACTTGATCAAAATAAATGCATGTGAAGCAATGTCATGAGATGAGACACCATTTAAAATAATTTTTTAAAATCTCACTTTTAGCAAATTATATCACAGAATGGACCAACTCCAAATAAGGGGATACTTGAACTGTCTGCATTGCAGAAAAAACTTGATCCACTCATTTATCATTCATTTTCCAACAGATTGCACATTAGCTCAACAAAAGACCTCAAATACATAGGGCATAATGAAAACAAACAGAAGTCTCCTGAAAAGGAAGAGCAACTGGAGCAGTTTATGCTTCCAGGAAACTTATGCTAAGGATACAGACACATAAGCCCAGCATGCCATTCCCACAGAAAACCAATGCAACTTCCCAGATTCTTCTTTCTTCTCAGAAGGCCTCAGCTTAGTATATTTATTAATAAATGGCCCATAAAATTAAATTTGAGTTTGTTTAATTTATTTATTTAATAAATACAAAATTGAGGTTTGAATTTCACACTGCTGAAAGCCACCATAATTTTTAAAAGCCTAAATTAAAATCAAATTAACAGCACAAATACCCAAGTCCGGCAATGACAGCCCCTAGGATTGAAGTTGGAATTTGAGTCGAATATTGGCAGACAGTTACAACCCCCTCCCGGGAAAACAAAATAATAAAGAAGTCCAAGTCCTTCCGAAGCCCTTCAAAGCTGGGCTTGATGGCGGTAATACGTTTCACACAGACCACAGGCGCACAATATGGTAGTCACTAGTTCTACCACATTCCACTTAAGTCATACACACAAGATGATGTTACGTGCTTCATTTTAAACGCTTGTTCGATTTGTGTGTTCAGTCACAGAATTATGACACGTCCTGATCTTCAACATCCTGCAGTTGTTCCTTAGTTTCAGTTTCACCTGCAAGGCAAGGGAGAAGATGCTTGTTAATTCATACAGATAGTAAAGTACAAAAAATACTTAATGTTAGGCTTCGGCATGAAATTAAAGTAACTACAGATCATAAAGAGCAACAAATGAAGCCTGAGAAACATGCAATACATAGAAGGAATACCAGAACAGTTTAACTTCAACTGAGCAGAAGATAGAAACTTTCATGCTAGGTCTCAACACTAGTACAATCAAGTTAGAAACAAATTAAAAAGAAAGCAGGTAAGTTAGGTAAGTTAAGTTTCTTTCACCCAAACATTAATAAATTAAAATCAGAATGCAGAAAGAATGATCAGTCCATGCATCCACAAGGATCCTAGGCTGAAGGGAAAAAATAGAAGAGAGCCAGTTCCAGAGCAAAGCAGCAAAGCAAGAACATTTTTTTTTTCAACTCTACAAATGTTAAAGCCAGAAAGAACAAAGAGCTGTCCCAATAATCCAGGGATGAGAATTTACAAAATGTTCTTTGGTTTGGGCCCTAAAACTGCAATAAGCATAATTTTAGCCAAAACAGACAAACTACATAAAAATTTGAACAAAAATAAAACAGCTGAACTTATGAAACACATAGGACTGATCAATAGAACTGAATTGCAGAAATAAAGAAAAAATGTGACACAGCATGATAGCAATCCATCTGAAGTCAAACCGTACATTGGGCTGATTCCTCTGTGGGTTGCTCACCATCTCCCTGCATGTCTGAGGTCCACAAGGTAAGGTTGTCTCTGAGCAGCTGCATGATAAGGGTTGAGTCCTTGTAACTCTCCTCTGATAATGTGTCCAACTCAGCAATTGCATCATCAAATGCTGCCTTAGCCAAGCGACATGCTCGGTCAGGAGAATTGAGGATTTCATAGTAGAACACCGAGAAATTGAGGGCCAATCCCAGTCTAAAAGGAAAAAAAAATTATGAAATAAAAATATGTACCCCCCCAAAAGGCAGATCATTAAGTAATTACATACTAAATCAACTGTTGAGATGCTTACCTAATTGGGTGTGTAGGTGGAAGTTCAACCATTGCAATGTCACTAGCTGCTTTGTATGCAACTAATGAATTTTCAGCAGCTTCTTTCCTGTCATTGCCTACAGCGAACTCCGCCAAATATCGGTGGTAATCTCCCTTCCTATGAGGCAAAACATAGCATAATTAAATATTGGAATTATAGTTAGAGGGTAAAAAGAAGTTGACAAAATAGCTACTGACATTTTGTAGTAGAAGACTTTGGATTCACCAGTTGAGGCACAAGGAATTAAATGCTTGTCAAGCACACCAAGAATGTCTGAGCAGATATCACGAAGCTCCTTCTCCACCTGAAAATATCAAAGCAATTAGAACTAAACTCCATCCAAACTGGACTTGCAATAAAGAGGAATAACCAACCTGTGAGCGGTAAGTTTTAATCATCTCCAGTTTGTCTTCAGCACCCTTGTTTTCCTCCTTCTGCTCAATTGAACTGATTATCCTCCAGGAGGCTCGTCGGGCACCGATAACATTCTTGTATGCCACTGAGAGGAGGTTGCGCTCCTCAACAGTGAGCTCCACATCAAGGGAGGCCACCTTCTTCATGGCGTCAACCATTTCTGAAATAAATAAATTTTGGGACTCAGGACACCGTGACAACTGTTCAAGTAAATTAGACTAGTTCAGAAGCTTGTATGACAAGCATGAACAGACAATTTAAGAGCAAACCTATTCTCAACAGGAGAGGGTATTGCCATTAAATAAGTTTCTACATTTTTCCCCCATGTGTAGTTGAGAAAAGCTCTGAAGGGGGCTGCTTATTTTGTCAGTGGCAGTGGAAGAAAATTGGGAGGTTTCTGTATTTTATTAATATTTGTCTGCGCAGAACCGCGGTTCACAACCTGAACGGTGATCAGCGGGAGCCGAAAAGAAGGAGGGGGAAAGGGGGAGGGGGTAGGAAGTTTCTAGAAATGTCATGTTTAAATTGAAGACAGCAAAGAGGAAAGCACCGTTTCGGGAGTGCGGAAGCGTCGAGTATCGTCGTTATTAAATTTATAAGGCAAGTAAAAACAACAGTACTCATTGTTGTAATAATGAGAGAAAAGAACGAATGAGACGCGCGGAAGGGCTTGAAGGGGAAGAGGATGTAGGGAGGGGCACAGATCAATACACTGCGGAATCGGGTGGGAAGGGAAGAGGGGCAAGTGGGCGGGGTGAGTGGAGGGGAGGGGAGCGGAGGCGAAAGGGGAAGAGGGGGGGGGGGAGCGTAAGCCAACGCGTAACCAACTGTTAGCCCCTGCCCCTCCCTCCGGCCTAACCTCACTTAAAGTTCAAATGAATTTGGCCACAATCCATTGCCCATTTCCCGTCCAGAGCATAACAGGGAAAACAAAAGGAAACAAATGCCCGCGTGCAAATGAATTTGACGCACGGTGCGCCCGTCCTGAGTGCCGCACTTGTGCCCCGCGTCTTGCGACCGACGCGACGCCAGCACAAGTACCCGGCACGGCACACCTAGGCAGCACTTTGCCTCGAAGGACTTATCGGGAAAGGGAAATGGAGAGATTCAACCAAGCTGCGACGCTATCGGGAGATGATTACAACAAAGATGTGACACGACCTGACAGATAGTGGTGGAATCTGATAAAGACTAACAAGAAGGGTAGGGACTGAACATGACTGAGAAAAGGCTTCTCTTCTATCAACCATAGAATCCCATCCCTGGACACCTGCTTCAAGTGCTTCAGCTCAGCTCTCTAGGGCCCCAAGTTAGACGTCTGAATAGTTGGACAGATCAAGAGCAAGAAAGGAATGATGAGCTGGCTACTTGTACCCAACTTCCATGCTTCAACACAAATTGAAAACAGAAAGTACAGTGAAAACTATTAATTCAACAAGAAGCGTGTGGGGATGAAGAAACCAGTCTTACAGGGAATCCATCGCATGATGGGTAAAAAGTTGACCGAACTGATGCTTCACATCTATACCCATAGCTGGGCACCAGATTAAGGACATAAGGGTTTGGGGTAAGATGAAGGTACAATTTAAAACACAGGAAGGACAAACCAATTCGTAATATGTAGAAATTTCAAACAGTTCCTTGGCAGTGTCATTCTCCAGCTCAGTTACACGAGTAATGAAACCAAAAGGATTCTCAATGAGCAAGACCTTTTGATAGTTTGCACAATAACTAATAATATTTCAGGTAAAAATGTGATCTGACAAACCAAAAAGTACTGATTAGGTTTCAGAACTTTAATGTTAAGATGGACAGGGGGTGGGGGAAAGTTGACCTGTCAATGTGATAATTAGAGCAAACATGGATGAGACTTTCAGGTGTCACCACCCTTCATGAAACTGTTCAAATTCAGAGGATAAGTTGCTCGTGGACTTAAAACAAGTCAGGTTATAATATCAAGGTCAGAAGCTTTCCGTTTCGGCCAGCGGTGCCGAAACGTGATATAGCCTTAAACATTGGACATCTCTGAGTGTGCCAAAAATCGAGACGAGGTTAAGACTGGAAGAAAATGAGTTAACAGTGCGAAATGTATCGAATTTTCGTGAGTAACGAGGACAAAATGCCCGGGAAAACATGTATATTCGCATTTCAACACCTGGTGACGCATCGATCTTAGCCTGATCCCAACCTCCGCTCGGTGATACGGGCACACTAGCAAAAACAATTATTAGCCGAGCGTAAGGGGATGCAAATGAATTTTCGGCAACAAAAAGCCCAGCCGACGGTAAGGAAAACATTAGATACGCAGCTTAGGCTCAAAATTGAGGTTTTATCAATATCGACATTCTGACGGAAGGGACCCCAAGAGCCTCCTAGGCCCCTCGGCCAAGTCGGCAATTTTCACTACGGCATTACAACGCACATATACAAAATCTTGAAGGAATATTAACGTACCATCGTATCTTTCGGCCTGTTCAGCCAATTTAGCCTTGTACACATTATCCTCCCTTTCCGACATGGTGGATGAATAGGGATTTTGGACTCGATGCACAAGAGGACAAAATACACTATTATCTAAGATGGCCGCGCCCGCCAACACTGAAAGTAGTCCCGTGACTTTCGCGTACAAAGTGTCTACGTGCGCGCAGCGACGAGTCTTACGTCACGGCTCGTTGTAACTGCGGAAACGTTGAAGATTTTATATTATTGCACAACAACAATGGAAATTCGCCTCTAAAAATAATTCTGGCGAACAGCATACATATTTTCCTTCTGAATTTATTCCATAAACCATAAGTCTGGGAAAGAACCCGTTTCTTTGAAACGTGAGTCGCACTTCGTGCAGGGAAGTGCTGACCTCTGGTGGACGAGCTGTGAATGAGATGAATACCGTCATGCACCTCTCTGTCACAGTCACACACACACACACACGTCATTCATGTCATGTACGCAAATGCGACGGATGTACGCGATGCGTTCACAAGATAAATGAAATACTTCCCGTTTTATGTATAAAACAATACATATAATATAAAATAAAATTGCTTCTTAGGCACTATTGCCTACAGGATCAAAATGAATAGGCCATCTTTCGCAAGGAAAGACAGAAGGGAACACTTTTAAGAATCTTTTCATCACTCACGCAGATTGTTGAAGGATAGTGTCAAAATGAAAGGGAGAGGGAAAAATAAACTTTTAAAGGTACCATGTTTTTATTAAGTCTTCACAATGAGTATAAACAAATTGTATGCAGACGCATGGACTTCCACTGTTCTGTATAACAAAGCCTCTCACAGCACAAAACAATCAACTGTCAACAATAATTAATTTGCTTCCCGTCTTGTAAAAGACAGGTACAACAATTTAAGTCGTAAATACAGTGCGCTTGTCATGAAGAAAGCCACAAATTTCATACAGAAATTGAAAATGAGCTAAAATGCAAAATATCATCATTTAACATGATTTAACTTGTGGCTTAGAGGTAAGGCTGTCCAAAAGATATAAGACACATATAGGAATCTTTTAATAAAGCATCTCATTTCAACATATGTACAGAATAAAATATAAAACATTAAAAATACCTTGAACAACTGTCCAATTTTTTTTCTCTCTATCATTTGCAATTGTAACTAGAACATTTGAGAAAAGAGTATGGCTCACATAAGAGGACTATCGAAATAAAAACTCATCTCATTATCAGCATATGAAAGCAAATAAGCCATAAAAATGGTAGGATATTTAAATAACTGTTTTATATGAAAGTTCATTTGAACTTGATCTGCTGTATGGAAATTGACAGTACAGCTCACATAAAACATGGTATACATTATTTGATGACAATGATCAATGAATCACCAAATAACACAAGTTAACATTTTAAATTTAAGCTGAATTGTATTATGTACTTAGATTACTTTCAACTAAAGCAAATAAAAATGACAGAACAGCATTAAAAATATATGGAAATAATTGTTCTCTTCATACTCTCATATGCAACTGTTTTCAGTATAAGGCAACTAAAGCCACTCTAAACTTCATTAAAACCAACGTCAAAAAAAAGGCCACATTTAGTATTGTAATAAATATTTGGCGACTTTAGAAAACAAATACATCCAAATACACCTGAATTAACAATACTTGTCCTCCATATTAAAATGCAAAGCAAGAAAAAACAACACAATTTTAACAATGAAGCATACAGCACATTAAGTTTAAATCAGTTGACTCTACAAAATCTCCTCACCACAAATCTCTCCCAGGCGGTCTCCATTACATAATAGACATTTTAAGATCTAACAAAATATGGACACAAACATATTTGCAAATCATGATTTTACTAGAAGTCAAGTTAAAATCTCTTCAAAGAATACAGCTGTAATAAAATGTAAACAAATTCGATAGGTTATTTAAGTTACTTGCAGGTGTCAGGTGTGAATTGTTAGTTCTTAGACTTCTCATTACTAACTTAAAATCACAAAATGGTTTATCCAACATGATGAGTTCTCCTACATAAGAGGATAAATCAAAAAAGAATACTACTACTTAAGTACCAGGGGTCATGTTAGAACAAGTACAAAGATTTTCTAAACAAAATCTATAGGAGCCAAGCCACTTCTAGTTAAAGAGAAATACAGGCTACATGCTATGTATATGCGAGATATGATGTTTATTATCTATTGTTTTATAACACCATGGGGATCTGATATGCACATGAAAGCACTGATAAACTCTACCACTACACTAGTGACCAAAAACCCCGTTTTTGAAAAATAAATGCAAAGAAACTACCTAGGGAGGACAATCTCAAAGCCCTACACCAAGCCAGGACAAAAACAAAACAAAAACGGACACAGTTCCAGACAAGTGAAAATCAGCCTTTTACCTATAACTTGGAAGTATAAAATTTCTGAAAAAATACTGCAAATGTACATATTTTAACAAGAGGAGAGAATCACTAACAATTCTTAATAATAATATGCTACATACTACCTAAATGATGCTTCTCTGTGATTGTCCTAGCATGACTTCTGATACTTTTTTGAGCAAGTAAAGTACTGAGAAAATATAGAGACACAGCAGATGAAAATAAAAACAAACGTATTCACAAAGTTAACATACAGTGGTCTCTATTTAACAAAACCTATTTACAGAGTTCAAAATAAAGGACAGACATTTGTAAAAATTCCATAAGAGTACATCACTGCATGTTCCTAAATAGCCCTTCAAAGTTTCCCAAATCAAAATTACAATAGTGTTCATTTACATGCCTAGCTCTTAAATACAGTATTTACAAAAGTAGTCTTACAATCATAATGGTAAATGACTTCAACAAATGTGCAGTTGCTTCAGATCTGGGAGAGGGTTGATCAGCCTAAAAGCAATCAAATATTATAAATAAAAAGATTGAAGGGCAGATTAAAACAAAGTGATAATTCAATTTCAGATATACAAACCAACAGATGAAGTGAAAGATAACTAGGGAGTACCAAAAATGTCTGGACAAACATCCCACTGCTGTTTCTCTTTGCACACCCAGTAATTTCCATTGTAGATATGGCATATTTGGCCTGTCCAAGGCTCTTTTTCTTTCTTAAACCAGATGGGCTCATAGGGAGGGTACGATTGTCCTGAGAAAGTAAAAAAAATGGTCACTCAGGCTGTTTGGAAAGGAATACATCAAGAAAATGAAATTTATATTTTGTAAAAACAATGTACCTGCAGCAGATGCTGCCTCAGCCTCTGCTTCTCGTTTCCTTCTAACTGCTCTCTGTTTTTCTTCAAGTCGCACTTTTTCAGTATTTGCCTCATCCCACCGTTGACTTTCCATCAAACGCTGATCTGGTCTCAAACGAGAGTCAGTTGGTGCAACACCATCTTCTTCTTCGTTTAACTGACTTGCCAGTTCAGTGAAATTGTAATACTTCTCACTCTCAGGAAGAGGTTGACGGCGCTGCCATGCCACAATATAAGGTCCTGTACGATAGACAGGGTTGTTGCTGTCGCCTTCTACACTAGTGACAGGGGCAATCTCAACCTTATCATCCCATGTTCCAGTCACAATCCATTTAACATTTTCATCCTTGTCCATAACACAGCCTTTCACCTTGAGAAAATAATAAAATGTCACTGAAAGTTAATCTTAATGTCTAACAAAACCGAATTAACATTTAAATTGACAAAACATTTTACCTTTCTTTGGCAATCACGAGTGAAGTAACTGTATGGGATGTACTTCAAATGACATTTTATTCCATCTTTATGATTGATAATATCAGTGTCACCATGCTGGTCCACCCACAGTTTCCCGACAATGATGTTGTGCACAGTTGTTGTCACATTACGCCATGTGTAGTGGTTGCCTGATAAAAAAAAAATTAGAATTAAATTTCCATGTTTATTTTTCATAGTCATTTGTCATTTATACCATAACGTGAAAACTTGATAATACCTGAACTATCAAATTCCAAATGTGATGTGCCTAGAGGAATAATCTGAAAGTACTTCCCCCTAAACTTGGAAGTAACAGTAACTTCTTGAAATACTCGCCAACCCCTTCCTTCACAATACTGAGCAGCCATTGGTGGATGATGTGAGACCTAAGAGATTAATTTAGGAAAAAATTACTTAGCAGTGAACTTAAACATAAGCAGCAAAACTGCATTTCACTTAATACTGCTGTAAAAAAAACTAATTATGTATTTACCTGCTCAGAGATGGCCCTCCACCCTAAATCTGCCATTCTATCACATTCAAAAGTTTCACCCAGTAATGGATTGAAAGGTTTTCCGGTACGGTTACTAGTACTGGCATAGATGGATATCGTAAATGCAGCAACATATGCCATCTGTTCACATGGGTCACTGCATGATGCAGCCTTTGTCAAAATATCTGAATATTCATAGGACTCAGTGACACGTTGTAGCATAGAAAGTGGCTCACAGAAGTTGACCTGAAACAAACAATACAAAGTTGACTCCTATGCTATGAAAAGGCAAAATTATCACATTTCGAAAGAGAACGGATTTTTTTAAACTCACAGGAAGGGGTATCTTAGACAAATCTTTTCCTATACAATTTTTCATTATACTCCACAAATTGAGGGGGTAATTAGGCTTGTCTGGCACTCTTGTCCTACGCTTTCGTATAACAGCTGGCGGGGATACAGTGCCACTTGGAGAACTGCTAGAAGTACCAGCTTTGCTTGAATCTTTCTTGCTTGATGACTCCCCAACTTCCTTTTTACTTTGACTCGTCTGTAAGATAGAATAAACTTACTTGTAGCAGGGGAAAAAAAAGACTTGCTTTAAAATTCCTTACAACAAGTCAGTAGCAAAACTTACACCAGCCTCTGCATTGGTACCACTGCTAATGACAAGCACTTTGGTTTCCGAATTTTCAACATCACTGCTGGATCCAGAAGCTTCATCCTGACTATCACGTGGACCATTATCAGCTCCCTGTGGAATCAAACAAAATTGATTGAAGTAAATGTGTCAGAGGTATCTCATGAAAAGAAAGTTACATGACATTATGCCAATTAGAATGTTGGATGTTGGATGCTGAGAGCAATTCACAAAGACAAAGCCAAAATGTTCATGCAACACACCACCTTGAAAAGGAGTGTACAAACTTGTCAATAGTACTTCATACATAGCGCATTCCTCTGTAAATTGCAAATACCTCCTAATCCATGAGCTCAATACAGCAAAGAGGAAATCATACTAAAACATAAACATACTAAAAATAATTGACATTGTTTCCAAGATATCTAAAGTTTTTAGAGCAGAGCAAATTGAGACGTGAATACCCTTTAGGAAATCCAAATACAAGCAGTTGTGCATTGAAAAATGATAATATTTGTGTGCAGTAAGAGAAGATATAAATTTAGATAATTCACATCAAAAGCAAGGCAGCAGGCAACATCCATATTTAAAGCGCACGATAACCCAGGCAAGACCCATGTAGGGGAAGTATTTGGGATTATGATAAGATTGTAATCTGAATTTGATCCAACAATATCCTAATGGAAGATGTAAAACACACTGGATAAACCTAATCGTGATTTTTTTTTTACTGTGCAGTCACACTCACAAAATCATGGGGAATGGTAAGTGCTAATGCCAATCATCACTCAGAGTGAAAGCCAAGAACAAAAATGAATGCAAAAAGCTTGAACAGGGAAAATATTTTAAAGGGTACCAGTTAAAACACTTTGTACAAAAGAAAAAAAAAGGGGGGGGGGGAACAAATTTGTCACAAAATCAAGCTGAAGCCTTGTCAGTCTTGCAAAGAAAAAGTTGTGATGAGATCAGTAGCCAGATATGCAATGTAAGGCTTCTAAAGTATAAACACAGCAAAGATGATAAGTACCTTGATTCCAAGACTGTTAATCTGTGTTGCAGGAAAGCAAGACAATTTCAAAAGCATGAGGAACTCACAAGGTACTAAAGTCAAAAGGAGAAGAAAACAACTGCCCTCGAATGGTAAAAAGAGAAAAAGAGCCTTAGTAGATTTAATTGACATTCATGACACATCAAAGTTCTGACATACAAGTAAAAGAAACCTGAGTGACATAATATTTATCATTTCTGTAAAATCAGAACTGGAAACATTCTGGCTATGTCCACCATAAGTTATTTTAGTTTTTCCTTTGTTTATTCTAGCACTTTCATCCCGTATTCAGAGACTACAGACTACACAAAACTAACAAGAATACTGGTAGTTTGATTCACTATGTGACTATGTGTCAAATAGTACAAGGTTATACGGCTGAAAAATAGCTATCCCAAACTGTAACTTTACAAAAAAATCTTTTCCTTTGCAATTACAGAGCAGAACCCTTCCAATTTCACAACTGAATTATTGTCCTCTACCAATTCTCCCATTCATCATCTTTTTATTTTATTCTGAGCCAAGTGTGCTTTCATTATTAGGCATAAAATAAATGGCGCCAGCAGTCTTTGTTGGACCAAATATTGAGTGTAGTTATAGTATAAAACAAATTAACAAAATCAATGAGCATTTGAATTTAAATGAAGGACGGTACTGGTGATGCACCCACATTTGCAGGACATATTTCAGAAATCTGCATATTTCAAAATTGTAAGTCATATTTTTAAAGTAAAAATGCTTTTACTTCACATTTTTGTGCAACAAAGCACCAAAAATATAGTCTATCCTAGTTCTAATTTAAATTACAGCGAGTAGCTGATCTGATAATCAAAGTATCTTCATTACACCAGATTCTATACTATCACAGAGACATTAGTTGTAGCCCTCTACATACCTAAATAAAACTTCTTAATATACAGAGCTAAAACCAGAAGGGTGGTTTGTATACAGTTACAATTGACTAGGCAGGGAGCCTCACCGAGTGAGTGTCCTCTCATTAAATTTTCATTTACATACCTAAACCAGACTTCTCAGTGAAATACAAAAAGTATTGCTAACAATTATTGACTGATTGATTGTAGAAATGAGATCATGCAGCACTTTCTGCACACACAGAGTTACCAACTTTAAGCAACTAGTAAGATGTCGTAATTCACATCTCTGCATAAATTAATCAAATCAAAACCAAAAAAGGGTTGTGAACATGAATATGTATACACAAATTAACTGTAAAAACTACTTTCATATAATTAGACAGTTATGGTTGCAAAGCCCCCTTCATGATATTTCACATCTGATTTTTGTGGACACAGGCAGATATATGATGGGAAATGTGAACTTTTACCAAAATTAAATATGACTATAACGCAACACTAGCTAAACCAAGTGTTTGGTGTAGAATGTGTTACAATTGTTGTTAAGCCCAACTTTTGGAAAAATTTTATTTGACCAAGCAGTGAATAACACTCGAATTGTCATTTCTCCCTCCAATATTAAACGTTTAGATGCAGAGGACAGAAGGCACAAAGCAGAGCATGACAATTATCAAAAGCCAAGGTTGCTGCTGTATACTTATTACTATAATACACATCTGAGTGTAGGCAATTAATTAGACTTGAAAGCATCTTTGAAAAACACAAGCAAAAGGGAATCAATTTTCAATGTCAAGTCAGCGTGTGGGCATGTGCCTTTAGAGTATGTTCACGAACAGACTTTTACAGAAAACAATTTTACATCTCTAACTGCCTCAATCAACGGTACCCACAGCTTGTAAGAATTTAAGTTCAATGGCACATGCCAAACTCTTTAACACCCACAGGAAGTCTTCATCATGCATCTAATGCGAGAGGCAATAAGAACAATTACGCAAGGTAAAATAAGAGCAGGATGATTGGCATACACACTCAAATCTTACAAGGAAGTGACACACCCATTAGTACTAAGGTACATTAAAATGTCAGATGTGAAAAGTGCAACAGCTAGACTTTAAGGGTTGCAAGGGAAAAAATGTTGTACAGTACCGTCTAATACTGGTAACCGACTTTCAACTATATCAGTTCAAAACACACAAGAAACAAAATTAAGTGTCAATGAGGGCAGAAGTATTGTATTTGAAAGGGGATTACAGTCAACTTTCTGCAATGACTACGAAGATATCAGTACACTCACAGCTTGATGTTTAAATTGTATACAGACATAATGTGAAAAAAAACAAGTAGTAAGGCATATTAAAGCAGAAAGGTAGTTGTAGAAATAATTTACAGACAAAGTGAACTATAATAGTGAAGTAATAGAGCAGAAAGCTAGAGCCAAGTTATGCATTTCAAGAAGCAGGCAATCAGAAGGCAAAAGTTACCAATTGAGCATAATGCATGAGGACAGAAGATTACTAAACTGAAGAGAAACAACATGCCTTATTACCTCACAATACCAAATGTAAATGGATACAGTCTAAGATAGGAATGTAGTAGTGATTATTTTAGCTGTGTCTAACATGGCTAACGTGCACCAGATCAGAATTATAACTCCCACTTCCCATGCAGTGTTCAAATATATTTTATGGTTGATCCAGGCTATTCAGTCAGAAAGCCGAGTACAAGACTGACCAAAGACACACTTTTCAACTACGTCTCATGGCAAAAGATTTGAACAGATATTTTGAAAAAATTTCACTTATAGCTTGACATGCTGGTGTTTATTTTGCTTTTTATTTTTACAATTAGAATCTAAAACTTGAAAGTGGCCCCTGTGTTTCGGATTATCTATTGCACAGTCCAAACCTGGTCTGAAAGCATTTTCAGCTAAAACTTGGGCTGGTCGTGGAAAAATACTTTGATCCAGCCGCAACTCGTCACTCAATGCGCGCTTGTGTTTGTATAACTTGCGACTTGAGTTTAAGCTACAAGTTTGTACGGATTCTTTGCTAACAGAAGATTCAGTCATATTAACCAAAGGGCGGTAAAATGTTGCAGATTCTCGCCTAGTAAATGGTTTGTCTGAGAGAAGTCGAGAAAAGTGTTCTGAAAGGAATGAAGTTGACAGAGGGCGATTTCTTTTCAATTTACGATCAGATGTAATAGGGGATGAGCATTCACTCCTGTGCCGTAGGCAGGGTGAATCCAAGCTACTAGTATGTTGAAAATGAGATCTCACAAGAGGAGCCACTGGGCTGGAAAAGGAAGAGTGGCGTAAAGATGCAAGGGGAGGTGGGTGGGACAGTACCTGCGATCCCAAACTTGCAGCAGACGATGTCCTTCGGTGACCCATTGGGATTTTGATTATGAAGTTTTGTTGGTTTTCAGAATGACTCTGATCAGACTGGGCGTCGTAAAACTCGTTGTCTTCGTCCTCGTCTGAAGGGGAGACTTGGGGCATACCTTGCAAGAACAGTGGGAAATTACAGAAAACATTCTAAGCTTAATAGATAACTACCGTATATAAAACTGAAAACCACATACTAGTTCTAGGAGTCTGATGATCTTTGGCAGCCTGCTCCAAATGAGAATGCTGCCTTGCAAGTTGTTCTACAACTTCCTCTAATCTTTGCCGCTGATCACGCTCATGCTGTAGCATCTTCTGCCATTTTCGGCCTTGAGATTGAGCGAGCAGAAGGTAATCTTGACATGCCTGAAGAAAAATTAAAAACGTTTTTAGATCATGTGCACAAAAGTCATAAAATTTGCCTTATTAGTTTTCTCACACTAAGCCTATATTGGTGAATTGGTAATTCGTTTCAAGAAAAAATAGTTTCGGATAGTTACGGAAAAAGATTAATTAGAAGAAATTCGTGGGGGGAATGTGCACTGAGCGTGTCAAATGTGACGGGAATATGCGAAAACTTCAGTAATTCAATTGAAATGGCAACGGACAACAACGACGCCCATAACCTACAAAAAGAACGTCATCCGATTTTGACACAGTTGACGAGAAAAATACCGAAAAACGCGTTGTTCTTGTTGACCTAGACTAAACTGAAGCAACTCCAAGCAAATCACACACACTACGCGACGCGTCAGTACATTTGAGAAGCGCAGTACGATTTCAGATCTGAGAAACGCTCTACGACAAGTCTGCTAGCTGTCATTCGACGGAGAGGCATCTCCACCGACGAGTAAGGAGAGGGCAAATCGTTTATTTGCGAAAATGGATACGAATGATTAACTTAAAGATAGTTTTACCCTCAAGAAGACTAGCGCATTGCGTCGTGCTGAAACAATATCAGACCGACGACTTTACAAGCACTTTGTTCCAGTGTAGTGGCAACACAGCTGCAAACAGGGCTATGACGTCACACCCCTTATGAACCTCGCCCTCACCCCCTCACCTCGCTCGCTACCGCCACTTCCCCTCTGGCTACCCATCCTCTTACACCCCAACGGGAGGTGCCCTCCTCTGAATTTCCCACCCCCAAGCTCTGGTCCGGGTGCATGTGCACCCAGGGCACAAGGTGGGAAGAAGGTTAAGCATTGAAGGTATACACTGACAACCCGCCAAGCCTTATGGGGCATTAAAATTAGGACTAGAAAACACAAGTAAGGTAAAAAGTAAAAGAAAAAAAAAAAAAAAAACCACAAAACAACCCCTTTTGTTGCAGTACACCATTAGATGTTTTTGACAGCAGATGTCACAGAAAATGCACTTCTTTTTGCAGTTGTTATCCCCCAAACTAGGATAATTGGACATCACAATTTTATAGAATTACCAGTTTAAACAACGGCGATGCAATGGTCAATGGTAATCAATAAGTAATTAATTTCCACCAACATTTCAATATTACGAATTGTATCTAAAAAAATATAAGTAGGTGCTACTTGCTGAAAACTGTATGATCGTAATGTTAGTAATAATTCTCGGTGAACAAACTTACATTGATGACAGTTGCTGATGTTATACGGAAAAGTGTAGCTCTCTCATTTACAGCCTTAATTTTGGATGGAACATCAGTTGCAGTATCAATTGTTTCAAGTTCTGACAGTGACCTCTGAAGAGCAGATCCATGCTTCACAATAAGATCATTGCAAGTCTGTAAATCCTCTAGCCGAGCTGATAGATTTTTTAAGATATTTTGCAGTTCTGCTTCCTGGCTTTGAGATTGGTCATCCAAAACTATTTCATCCTCTTCATCTGCACGTATAATAAGTTGGATTAGTTTAGTGCCAAGTTATTTCATAACAGTACAAAATTGTACGAAAATTGTATTACCTGATTCCATAGCTCTAATAGCATTGGATTTGGCTAGTTCCAAAGCAGTTACCCATCTTTGTCTCTCAACTTCATTAGCAGCTCTAAGGTGGAATGTCTGTGTGCCTCCATTAGAAATAACAAATGTGCAAGAATCTTCAGTATGAATCATGGCACCATGAAGACTAATGTTGCCTCGGCACGTGTGGGCCATTTCAGCCTGATTCCTGAAAGAAGGGATCGGAATAATTTAAGTATGTTTCTACATGCATCACAACATGAACACTAAACATTTTCAGCAATATCATGTAAATATGACCACTCTAAAACATGGTGCAATTAAAAAATTCTGCTTGTTTGGGATTTAAGAAATACAAAATGTAGGTTTTGTTTTAATAATATTAGTGGCCAGGAAAGCAGAATTTTCAGATGTTAAAAAGCCTAAAAACTAGTCACAGAAAACATTTAAGGGTAGACTTATTAAGGTTTAGTTTTAATCAGAAGAAGAAAAACAGCTTCAGAAAGTTTTGAATGAGTTGAAAACATAAGTTGGGTTCTTATGAAACAGTAAGTATTGGGATGTTTCACAATAAATCATTGCTAATCCCTGAATTTGGTATACAATACATGATTAGGTATAAAATGTAAGTTAAAGGGTAAATGAGCAATATCCAGCACACAAAATGTTAAACTTAACACTGCTTCACATTTATCATGCAGTAGTAAAAATATTTGGAAGAGGGCTGGCGGAGCACGCTGGGCTTTCACACGCACTTACTCACTGCGAGTCCGCCGCAACCGCCTCCCACGAAAAGATAACTTGGAAGCCTTTGGACTTTCATCCCTAAAATAAGTGCTTATTTATTACTGGATGAGGATAGGGATTAAAGGAGTTAGAAGTGTTTGCTGGATTGTGTTAAAGTACTGATCTTTCCTTAAATGAATGACTGAGTGACTGTTATAGGTATAACATGAGGATATAATATAAAACTGACATATTAGCAAAATTAATAGCTTGTAGGGGAATGATTGGAACAAATGTTCAAATTGAAATTAGTTGATGGAATATTCATTCACGAGAGTAGAAACAGAAGAGCTTTGTTTAGTTGAGAAAGCTTAACAATTGAGGGCAAAATGTGAGAATCCCAAGCGAAGTCAAAAGCAATGCACATAGATCCCAACATTGGTGCAGAATGATTACTATCTTTGACATGGAAGAAAATAATAAAAACAAGAAGATGATGGCGCTTACTAGTTGTTAGCACACCAACAACCGTAAGATATATTGCTTTTGACTTTGCTTAAAGCTTGCTCTTGAATGTCACTCTCAGGAATCAGCTTAGCTAAATGAAGCTTAATGTGTTCGTCTCTTAATTGAAATCCAAGTAACAGAGGTTACACAAGTTTCATGTCAAAATTCCAAATTTCAAATGGCTGAAATCATTATGGTGCCTAACTGGCAGTGATGTCACTTACCACTAAGAGACTAATTCTTACGAAATATCTGTTACTTGGAAATGTCAAAATGTGGTCGTGTTGTGATGAAATTAAAATTGACTGTGCCTGGGCACATAAAAATTAGATTATTGACGAAATCTATAATTTTTAAAGTAATAGAGCAATTTGAAGAGAAAAAATGTGTCTGCAACACAATTTTAAAAGAAAATAGTGCATGCCTGTAGGAGGATGACAGTGTGGTTCAGAATACTATGGTTTGACAAGGAGGAGATGACATAACACTAAATGTACGTTTTGAGATGCTAAAACATTCTAAGCTTAAAGCTAAATGCAAATTTAATGAATTGGAACACGACTGGGAGAATATGGAGCTAACTTTCACAATGTCATTGACAAAGGCCTACTGCTGTAACATTCTGTGTGCTACATACCTGTAGTAGGACAAGAATCCATTTGACAGCACAAACCAGCGGCGCTGGTATCCTTTAATGTAATTAGTCCACTTGGACAGCCATCCTTTCATCTCCGGGTCAGCCTTTTGATCCATGTTGACGGTGTTCTGCTAACAGCTTAAAGGTTCGGAACACGGTTCCACGTAACTCGGGCATCAACCACCATTTTATTAACCAAGATGGCAGCTCCAGTACGGGACGTTCAACTTCAGACATACGATTTCAGAGGGGAACCGCATTGTTTGACGCAGCAATTCAAGTCAATTGAGGCAAATACTGAGGAGCGATCAGAAATAAATAATGATCTTGCAAACTCTGTTTACAAATTGAAAGCTCAGCTGTATTTTCACTTCCTCCACCGTGTACAAAAAGAAACAAATGCAAACGAGCGGAGCGGCGGATGAAGACTGACGGTTGGTGAATTTCTCACAGGCGGTGAGAAGAAGCGCCAATATTTAACTAGGAACCGCAACTATTTATTCTACCTATTGAATGAATGAACGCATGAATGAATGACAAGTAGAAGTACGTAGTAGAATGTACGTCAAAGTTGTAGGCGATTCAAAGAGGATATTATTCAAGCGCGTTGTTTCTCGTCTTTAGCTCGATCAAATGAATGTCAGTAAATGTTGCCGTATGTTCATGTTCATGCTTTCTGAAATATTTGTCATACTGAACTGAGACCAAGACAAAATTCAAATTGGTAGTTCGCGGGTTTTGGGTTTTGCCTTCCTTTTACCGATAATTTACGTTTGTTTTGGTCGTTTGATAACATTTGCAAGCTTGACCTTTTTTAAATGGTTTAATCTCATCAACAAGTTATTTAAAAACATGATTACTTTTCGTTCTATTGTTATTTTTCTTGGGAAGCCCAGCCTATGGGGTGTTTATTGTCTGCCCCATGTGCTTTGAGGGTTAGAATCAATGTGACTTGGATACCTGCTTGATCTGTCCGATCTATCCATCCACGTCCACGTCCATCAATATACATCCATACAAAGGATTTGACAAAGGTACGTAGATATATTAAATATTATTGTTATTATGGGCTGGGAAAACATGTGGCATGAATGTGACAATGTACATCATGCATCAAAGGTAACATCATAACAAAACAAGATTAATGCCTCAAGTTAAAGAAATCTCTTTTAACAGACTATTTAATGTGCACTTCTCTTAAACAACATTGTGACTTACAATGGTTTTGTTTTCTGTGTTCAATGAAAATCAGTATCCCTACCACCGATCACCCATCATTCCTATTTTATTTCATTTCTGATCACAGCTTGAATTTTGGTTTTGGTTTGCTAGTGCAATTTAGATTGTTCAGTTTTACATATCCTAAGATAGATGCTTCTGTGTGACCCGCCAGAACACCCACCATTTTCCAATGCACCCCTATGATTGGGTTGCTGAAACATTTTATATAATTTTGTAATAAAAATACATTTATGGCCTTACTGGACAATAGAAGTCACTAGCAAATCTGGGCTGAATCGGTAAATGTCAAATCAGAATTGATGAGTGAAGGGGTGTAGGTCCTAGTATTGGAAGACCACCTCAGTTCTGCCCATTATTTGCCATCTACCCCCGAGCTGTGCCCGTCCCCCCCATGACCTCATTGAGACGGGGGGCGCGGCCGGCGCGGCTCCGACCAAAGACCCAATCGTCTTTTGGCTCGACCCTGCCAATCTGCTCCCCCACCTGGATACTTGGTGAAGCTGCCTTACTCCGACAAACTCAGTGCACTCTCATTTCGAGTAATTTTTAGTTTTGTTGCCCTCCTAACCGCCCCCCCCCCTTTTCTGCCCCTTTGCACAAAATTCCCACGGGTCATGGAAGTGGCGCCAGAGGAGACTGACTGAAAGGCGATAGGGAAAACGAAAGAGATTTTTGTGTGCTCGACTGGAAGGCCATTGCAGGCCTGTACCCGCGGCCTCAAGGAGGAGGAGGAGGAGGGGGTGTCCTGCGGAGGTCCGGGGCCCTTCCCTTCGCCCCTTTCCTTTCTCAACACCACAACCCCCTTGGTCCTTGGTCATGGTTCTCCAGGACGCACCCACCCCCACACCACCCCCGCCTCTTTCACCTCGTCGTGGGGGCCGTTCGAACGAAGCCTCCCCCGAACGTGCCGAGTCTGAGCCGAGCGAGGCCGACTGCCGAGCCGAAGCCGGTGTCATGGCCCATCCCCATCCCCCTCACCCTTTCTCCTCCTCCCTCCCCCCACAGTGGTCTCGTCCCCGCGCGGCGCTAGCGGCAGGCGGAGCAAGGCGGAGGCGGGTGCTGCGGCCCTCGCGCTCGGCTCGGCGGCGCTGCGCTCAGCTCAGTTCGATTCGCGGCGCGGTCCTGTCCAGAGCTCGACGCCGGCCTGCTGTGCGCGCCGCTCCGCCGGGGCCGAGCCGACTCCGCGTCTGTCGTGCGAGTGTCTGTGAGTGGTGTGTGTGTGTGCGCGTGCGTGCGTGCGTCGCGCGCCGCAGCTGGTCCTCAGTTGAACCCCGAGCTGTCGTCATTCGAGCCTGGTTCAAAGTTCAAACGTGTCGTTCACCCCTTACCTACCCCCCTTCCCCCTCCTATCTCGCCGGTGTGTCTTCGGGCAAGTGTGAACCCCTCCCTTTTTCACCCTCTCACGAGTGTTGTGGCACGGCGGAGTCTCAAGTGCCCCCCCCCCCCCCCCTTTCCGGCGAATTAGTGAAGAATACACCGAATAGCAGGTGTCGAAGCAGAGAAGCCTGCGTGTGTGTGTGTGTGTCTGTGTGAGGGTGCCCTGCACCGGCCAGTGACGTGGGCGTGTAGACCAGCTTGTACTGTGCGTCCAGAAGACTTGCACCTGGACGGATACCTCACGGATACGCCATCTCCCCTTGCGAGTGCCGACGACGGCGCCGCGCGGCCCAGGACGTACCGTCCGCGGCGGCCCGACCCGCGAGGACTGCGTGGATGTAGAGTGGGGGCTGCGGGAGCTCGCGAACTCGAACGGTGAGTAGAGGACGGCCGTGTGGGCGGTCTCGGAATGTGTGCGCGCGCTCGGCGCACTCTGCGAGCGTCGAGACCGTCGCTGCTGTTGGAATCAGCGGAGGGAATGACCAAGCAGGCCGTTGACCCTTGCATAGCAAAAAGAGGGGGGGGGAGGTGATTTTTCACCCCTGCCGCATGTTTTCGTCGGCCCGTTTGGGCGCGACCTACATGGGCGGGCGGCGGGCGGCTCTGCGGCGAAACATCGGAGATGAGATGCTTCGAGGTTATCGCGCTAAACGGCCCGATCAGACGGCCGCCGTTCGGCCGCGAGGCTATCCGCTCATCGCCGGCTGATGATAACCCATGTCCGGTTCCGGTTTGTCGCGCGCGGCCGCGCCTGCCGTCTTTTATTTTGTTTTAATTCTGCATGATTATTGGTGGTCCTTGTTTGAAAAGTGGTAGGAAGGAGGGGGGGCGCTGCAGCATGCTATCGCCCCGCTGTCGTCGGCTGATCTGGCCGACTTGCTACTGGGTGGGGGAGTCCATATGCGGTATGCAGGCGGATCGTAACCGTAGCCCACGTTGCCTACCCACCAGCAGCCAGGCAGTTGGGTGCTTGCATGGATCCCAAAGCCGTTTCTGGGGGCCGACTGCTCCAACAGCTCCCCGTCCTGCACAAGCCAGTCATGGTGCTGCCCAAGACCAAGCCGCGGGCAGCGCGGTGGGAAGCTCCCCCCCCCCCTC